AGTACGACGCCGTGGAATGGCCTACCGACGAGGAGCTCGCGGGAGTCGACCAGTCGGCGATCCTGCCCATGAGGCGCGTCCGCACGGACAAGAACGAGGCGACGAGAGGCAACTTGTCGTACGAGCAGCATCCGCTCAAGGCGAAGTCCAGGAACATCGTCCCGGGCTACAAGGACAAGCAGCTGCTCGCGGGGGAGTTGAAGACCAATGCTCCTACGCTGACGGACGTGGCCACGGCGGTGATCGTGCAGGAGGCGGCCAGCCAGGAGGGCTGGAGGCTGGAGCAAGGCGACGTCGACTCGGCGTTCCTGAACGGGAAGTACCTCGACAGCTCTCGGCGCGTGTACTTTCGTGCGCCGAAAGGCGGACTGCCGGCGGTGCCCGAGTTGGGCTGGCCAGCGGTTCCAGAGGGGACGGTGCTGAAAGCGAAGAAGGGCATCTACGGGCTGAACGACGCACCACTGCTGTGGTACGAGGAGCATCGAGATACCATACTGTCCCTGCCCGGTGCATCAAGATCGAAGCTGTGCCCGGCTCTCTTCATCTTCCACGACGAGCACGGGAAGCTGATCGGCCTGATCGGGACGCATGTGGACGATGATTTGGTAGCGGGCTCGCCCGAGTTCTTCGCTAACCAGGTGGCCAAGCTGAGGAAGATTCACTGTTACGGCAAGTGGCAGACGGCGAAGGCCGGCTTCCATCACTGCGGGCGCTTCCTCAAGCAGAACGACGACGGCACCATCACCTGCAGCCAGAAGGAGTACACCGAGAGCATCGAGAAGATACCGATCTCGAGCGAGCGTCGCAAGAATAAGGAGGCGAAGGCCACTGCTGAGGAGAGGGCGATGCTCCACAGCGGTAACGGCCAGATCCAGTGGTTGGTGCGGTCGACCCGCATGGACTTGGCGTTCCGGCTGGTGGAAAGCCAGGCGAGGGCTCACGACAGCGACCTGAAGGTTCAGGACCTGCTGGACTTCAACAAGCTGGTGAGCGACGCCAAGACGGACCACGTGGACATCACCTTCCAGAAGATCAACATAGACGACGCGATCGTGGTTGCAGTTGGGGATTCCAGCCATGGCAATGTGGGCAAGACGAAGACCGCTAGCCAGGCGGGCCTGGTCATCCTGCTCGCGGACAATAAGGACGACAAGTTCCTGCAGGGGAGACCGGCCAAGGTCACACCCATGCTGTGGCGATCACACCGGATCAAGCGAGTGGTCCGCAGCACCCTCTCTGCCGAGACGATGGCGGCGCTGGAGGCGGTCGAGAGCGGGGACATGCTGAGGCAGCACCTGGTGGAGCTGCACTACAGACTCGGCTACCGGACTCACATGGAGGACGTGAAGGCCATCAAGATGGTGGAGGTCACGGACTGCAAGTCGCTCTACGACCTACTCCAGAAGCGAGGGACGGTACCCTCCGAGAGGCGGCTGCTGATCGACATCGAGGCGCTCAGGAACGACCTGGAGTTCAACAACGTGGTGAGCAAGTGGGTGAACACGAAGCAGATGCTCGCCGACTGCCTCACCAAGAACGACGTGCGCGCTGGCGACTACATGAGGTACGTGCTCCAGACCGGCGAGTACCGGCTCACCGAGGACCTCATGGCCGACCAGATCATAGCCAAGCAGAGGATGGAGCTCAAGGGACGCAGGGGCGAGTACTACCGCGCGAAGTACCCCAAGAGACTGCGACCTGCCGAACAACACTACGTTCACGAAGGCTACACCTACTTCGAGGAGTGCATCGCGGACGTTCGGTACAACGCGCGCGTGCTACAGCCTGCTCCGAAGCCATACCTCCGATGGCGTATGACACTCGGCCAGCGCGAGGACGACGTTTACTACGAGAAGCTTGAGGAGATGGTCGACTGGTCTGGCCTGGACCAGGTGTCGAGGCGCAGGAGGATCCCCACGCAGATTCGGAAGCTGCTGACGATCTATGCGCCGACCAAGGCCGCCCTCGAGCGCTACGAGAAGGACTTCACGGAGAAGCACGTGATCAAGAAGCTGAAGGTGACCGACGAGGGCGACATGCAGGACAAGCTGGATGTTACCGAGGATCTTGGTGCGATCGTGGAGTCGGTCGAGACGGTGAAGGTGGACGGCACCAACGAGGTCGCGGAGATCTACATGATGGACGCTGCGGGTGCCGAGACCGAGGAGGTCAGGTCAGGCGCCGCCGCGGCCGCGACGGTGGTTGTGTGTGCGGTGTGCCGCATGGTGGTGGATCAGTGCGAGTGTGGACCACGAACCCGCAAGAAGGCCAACCAGCGATCATCGTGCTCAACCTACCCGGGAGAGCTGCCGCCAGTACCAGATGATGACGATGAAGGCGGCGATGACGCCGGTGAATGGGAGAAGCTACCACACCGACTCTACCAGGAGCGGCAGAAGTCTACGACACCGACGAAGAAGGCCATGATGAGGGCACGCGCGTTGCACGAGAAGACCAAGCACGCATCCTACATGCAGATCGAGGAGGACTTCGGCGAGGTGCTGGAGGACGGCGTCCTGGAGGCGTACGAGGTGGTCGTCAACAACTGCGACGCGTGCAGGAAGGGCAAGAAGACCTACGCCTCGGTGCAACGCGGAGTCAACACCAACGAGCTCAAGACGGACGAGTCCAGCAGCAGCCACCAGGGGAAGAGCAAGGGCAAGACCGGCCCCAGCTCTGATCACTGCGAGCACCCGAAAGAGAAGCTCACGACCCGAGGGAGCAACCAGTACAAGGACAAGCTGAGGTGCATGCAGTGTGGCTCACTGCTGGTGGATTCCGACACTGACTGGTGGCGGCAGGAGAAGGAGTATCGTGCCCAGGAGAAGCTCCTCCGTGCTGAGAAGGAGAAGCAGGTGCAAGCCGAGATGAAGGCCATCCGCTTGCGCGACATGTACCAGAAGATCTCTGGCGAGACCAGGGCGACTTCCGCCCAGGGTACGAGCTCGATATCTCCGCCGTGAGCTACCACGTGGAGAACCACAACACGGCCATTTTGGCCAGCACGGGCATCTTCGCGGTTTGCGACGACGCCTGCCTTTTGCTGTTGAACTGAGGGCTGTGCCCAGCGCCCGCCTGCCCGCGAGCCACGCTTAGTCAAAGAAAATAACACGAGTGTAGATTCTGTATGATGAACAGTTGACACGCGTGTGTGTGCAGCGCCGGCGCTTGGGCTCGAGCTAAAAGTGTGCGCCTCCCTCCCACGGCAGTTGCATCGGGGCGGGGGCGGCGATAGTGGCTATCGGCACTATCGATCGAGTTCGAGTTAGTGACGAGCCTCGACGACGGAGGAAGACGTTCGAGGATAAGTTCTGACGAGAACGAGGGGCCCCGAGCTCCGAGCCAGGCAGCGGGACTGGGGAGCCCCCGCTATGGTGGGGACGTGCACAGTGGCACCCTGGCGAGACACTGCTGCGACCGTGAGCGAAACCCTGGCGAGATACCCTCGCAGGGGCGCGGAACGCCCATAGCGGGTGTTCTACGGCGGTTCCGTGTCGTAACGACACCAGCGCCGGTCTCTGGCACCGCGTGAACCGTTCAACTTTCCGATAGCGCAGGTCGTTCGGCATGGGCCGCTTCTGGGCCCCTGGCGGCGTTCAACCTTGGGCGCCCGCTCTGGGGTCGCAGTCGCGTCGACACGACACCAAACTACAGCAGGCAGGCACGGGGGGCGCGGAACGAAAGCTCCAGGTGAAGCGCGCCGAGGCGTTAGGACCCCGGCAGCAGGTTCGCTGTTGGTCGCCCGGGCGAGCGCAGCGAGGAGCGCGCAGGCTTGCGATAGGAGGGCGGCGTGCGCCTGCAGCTCAGCGGCGCAGGCAAGGCGAAAGCAGACGAGCCGCTCGGAATCGGCCGCGGTCTCATCGAGACCATCCCGTCTGTGCTGCTAAAGAGCCAGGACCAGTCACTCGAGTGCGGTGACGTCGTCTTTGAGCGGGGGGTGCCGATGGACAGAGCTGGGATGGCATGCCTGACGGCCTGTGGGCCGTGGGCTTGGAGTGGTCGCGGTGCCACTGCCACTGGGGGCAGGGCGGGTGACGGCACCCGCAGCAGGGCGGGGGACATGGGCCCCGGCGGCCCCTGCGGACCGAACCACCCTCCTTCCACTTGGGTCTCACCGTCCATAGCGCCATCGTCATCCCCGACATCCGCAGCTCGCGGCAGTTCCCTCTGCGGCGGGCGAGGCCGGGGCTCAGCAGCTGCGTGCCCCTCGCCCCCCGCAGGCAACTCCCGCCCCTGGCTGGCCGCTGGGCCCTGCGCTGGGCGGCGGGTCGCCTGGGGCAGCCGAACCTGCCGCGCTGGCGAGCGCTGCACCCCTGGGCCTGGCACCCGCGCCACCGAGGGCCTGCCTGGCTGACGCCACCCCGCTGCAGGCCCTCTGGCGCTCCGCCAGGGCCGACAGCTCGGCTGCACCGACCTCTTCACCCTCCACGCTGCCGCCCAGCCCTCTGGCCAGCTCCGCCGCAGGCTCCGCTGGCGCCGCGTCGCCGCGGGCCGCCCGCGGCACAGGCCGGCTGATGCCTGCTGCAGCCAGCGCGCCGATGACCACTGGCGCGAGCACCACGTCCGGCAGAGGCGGCACTCACGCGACCCGCCGCTGTGCGGGCCACTGCGTCCTCGCCGCGTAGCGACGCCGCGCCGGCCTGTGGGGCGCCCCCCGCCCCGCCCCCTCGGGGCTCGCCAGGCACTGGGACCTCAAGGGCCCCGAGAAGGACTCGAGCCCAGCAGGGCCACCGGCAGGGGAAGGCCGAGAAGGACAGGGAGAGAAACGCGCACCCAACACTCGCGGCCCCATCCAGACCCTAACGATGGGGGGGGACCGGCTCAGGGGGGGGGAAACATCGACCTGCAATCGGCGATACGTCGCCGAAGGATCGGCGGGGTGGGCTATCGGGAGCCTATCGGCGAGGAATGGGCGAGTGGGGGGGAGGCAGCCCCCCCTGAGTCGATCCTTCCCTCGCGCTGCCCCTGAGCGAAGATGGAGGATGAGGCTGGAGGCCCACCCCCTCCCCGGTCTTGATGTCGACCCCGCCGACGCGCACTCCGGAGCTGATGCCGGTGCTGCCCTCCCCGGGCCGCCCCCCTCCGCCCTCTCCGGGAGCAGGGCTGGAGGCCTGGCGTCCCTCCCGGCTCACGCGGGCGGCAGAGGGAGAGGAGGCGGCAGGAGGCAGGACGAGAGGATCGGATCGGATCGGATCGGCGCTGCTCGGTGGTGAACCCCGCGTCCTCGCACCCCCCTCGACCTTGCAGCGAACGAGCCCGTGCAACTCTTGTGATCGGCGCTGACCCGTGCCTCGTGACGCCCCGTCTGGAAGTGGCACCCTGCAGAGACACCGCCACGACAGCCCGACCTGTCTCACTGCGGCGTGGGTGTCACAAGTCATTGCTGCCAGGGGCGAGCGCCCAGGCCATCGTGGGTCCGACGGTGAAGGAAGAGGGGAAGCGGGAGAGGAGGCAGACGAAGGAGGGGGGGAAGCAGCGGAAGGACATCCTTCTTCCCCTGCTGCTGAACAAGCCACGCTTGGGGGAAGCCGTGTGCTCTGGAACGTGCGGCCAAAATGCTGGTACCGCCATCAATAATCGACCTCATGTACGGTCGAGAGAGAGAGAGGTTATAGAGAGAGAGAGAGAAAGAAAGAGCGTCAAGTTGGAGTATTCCTCCTCTCTCCTCCATCCTCCCTCTTTCCATCCTCAGGCCTCTCCTCCTTCTCCTCCTCATCATCCTCCTCATCCTCCCATATTCCTTCATCTCCCTCATCGTCATTACACCTTCTCCCTCCTCCCTGCTGCTGCAAGATGGCTATCCTCTCGCGTATAAAAGAAGTGCTTACATTGCGGCTGCAGAGTCACTACATCCACGGTCTAGACTTGACACAGCACACGCTCTGCACAATCGAAAAGCAACATTCACATTGCCAACGCCCACGGTATCTCCCCCCTCCTGTCTGTCTTCCTATCACTTTACCCAACACCGTGCCGTAGACACTGGGTTGAGTATCCTGAAACCCCTTTCGAGTCCTCTCTACGTGCTGCAAGTACTCTTGAAAAAGCCTGGGATCCCGAGTTCCAGGAAATCTCTGGCGCTTCTGAGCGCTCTCGGGGCGTCTCGCGTGACTCTCCCAAAGGCCTCGGGAACGTGACTTAGAATCCACATGTCCAACATGACCTAAGATGGTCACATGGGCCTGTCCTGGAATCGTCCTGGGACATATTCAGCCATCTTGGAGGCCTGGGTGCTGCCCCAAGAGGCCAAGCCAGAAATAAGAAATGCACACAGCAACCAAATGCTGGTCCTGCGTGAGATTTAACATGGCCACCTTTTCAGCTTGCAAAGCCCGAAGAAGACCCGCAATGTTGTCTCAAGACAGCCCCAGAGATCCCCAAGAGCCCAGGAAGGCCCGATGACGCCTCAAAGAGGGGCCGCAGAGGGGGGACACTGACAATTCGAGCCCCCGAGACCGACAACAGGCCCCCAAGAGGCTGGCCCAGGAGGCCCCGAAGGGGCCCCAGAGGCACACAAGAGGCTCTCAAGAGACCTCCAAGAGGCCCTAGGGAGGCGTCCGAGAGGCCCCCACGAGGCCTCCCCAGAATTCCCAAGAGCCGCCAGGGTAGCCTCTGTCATGTCCACGACCCAAGCACGATGGCAGGATGGGCCGAAGGCCACTACACATCCGTAGATGCGCAGTTGTGCCTCCTTTTCCTTCTCCTTACCCTGTCTCTCTCTTTCTCTCACTTTCTCCTTGTTCTGTCTCCCTCTCTCTCTCTATATGTCTCTCCCTCTCTCTCTTTCTCTCTCTCTCTCTCTCTCTCTCTCTCTCTCTCTCTATATATATAAATATATATATATATAGATCACCCTCTCTCTCTCTCTGTCACTATATCTATATAATTGTTTTCTCTCGCGCTTTCTCTCTCTCTCCCTCTCTCTCGTTCTCTCTCTCTCTCTATATATATAGTGTATCTCTCTCTCTCGATCTCTCCCGTTATCTATATAAAATGTACATACATACATCATGCATACGTAGCTATAGCTACATATCTATATACATATATATAGACATGTGACAACATGTCTCTATCACTCTTGATATCTCTCTATATCCGTATATGTATGTGTCTGTGTGCTTCTCTCTACGTAAATATATGTGTGTATGTATGTATGTAAATATACGTCTAGTTCATACATGTCTGTAAACATTTCCCTCTTTCAAAAATTCTATGTGTCTGTGCATGTATATGCATATATAAGTATATCCGTCGCCGTACGAGACACAAGGCTGGCTGATGCCCCCGCTCGTCTATTCTCATCCCTCCTAAAAGAAATCAAATAACCCTGCAACCGCTCTGATGGATTACGTTGTCTCGCATGCCGTAACTCATACACTTACGACATGTTGCAAAACTAATCATTGCTCGTGGGTACCCGCGTGAAAATATCACGCGGACTAAAACTGAATTCGCTGACTTGCTGGTCTCACTACGCCCACCTCCTCCATGAAGCTATCTCGATGAGCAATCAGATTCGGATGGCCCGGAATGCCCTTCAGGAAGCTGACCTCCCCGCTTCTTACAACAAACCAAGGATGAAAACCTGCGCTCTCACGCATCCCGCCCCTCGATCCTCTACCCGTCCACTGATCCGTCAGTCTGTCCACCAGCCCCTCTGCAATGCCCACCGATCAACAGCCGAAGGGAGCTGTTGCGCAACGGCCTCGCAACTTCCTCTCAATCAAAATTCTGGGCGATCGAATCGTTCCGTCCTCCTTTGTCGGCACTCCTGGAACACGACACCATAAACGCCGCAGGCACGGAGAACAAACGAAAGACCTACCCGAACACCTAACATTCTGAGCAAGCGCCCACTGCTCCGAACCGACGAGTTTCTGCACAGTCTGGGCCCCTTGGCGCCACCGCTGGGGCCCCGGCGAAGCCCGGGCTCACGCCCACCCCGAAAACGATAGGGAAAGACCAGCTCCTCAGGGGAGACCTGCTCGGTGCACACGCCCTGCTGGCCTGGCCAGCTACGCACTACTTTTTACGTCGGCGGCTGGGCAGAGGTTGCTGCTCCGGCGATCGGGCATCAACGGGGTGCACTAGATGCAAATTGGGCCGCTACGCACATACACTGGTCCGGGGGCCAGGATTGGCACCGCCAGGACCGGTGTCGTTGTCTCTGTGCCCGATCTCAGACTGTGCTGAGGGCGAACGACAGGCGGAGGCTGGCTCAGGGGGAGGGCAGGATCGACTTGCAGTCGGAGCGCCGCAGGATCGGCGATCGGCCCCCGGTGGCGCAGCCGCACGCTCCCGGGCGGGGTGGGCGCACGGGCCCGCAGCGGCGAGGAACAGGCGAGGGGAGGCGAGGGGGGGTCGATGCATCCCCCCCTGAGCCTATCGCCCCACAACGTCACCCCTGACCCTAGGCCCCAGGCCACCTGCAGCGCCCTCCCCCAGACCAGGCCCCCCGCGCCCCCACCCGCCTGTGGCTCTCGCTGCGCCACGGGCGGAGCCCCCGAGGTCGGGAGAGAGAGGCAGACGACGCACGCGACGGCACCCGCTCGCCCGAACGGGCCGGCATGTGTGCCCCTTTTCGTGCCATCGCGCGGGGGGGAAAGCCTTCGCTCCGACTGTGGCTCGTCAGATGTGACTGCTCGCTTTCGAGGTCGGCTCTTGCTCAGCATGCCACAATGCCACAACTTCAGCACTCTCTCATCGAAAGCACTCGGCTTGCCACGGCGTCATCGACATGCTTCCACCGCTCTGCCTGCTTTCCTAAGAATAGAGTAAGGAAGAAACACCCAAGTAGGACCCCTTGGCTGCTGACTGTCGTACTTGCTAGCATGCTGCAGCGTCGGCACTCATTCGTGAATCCTGGCACGCCTGGATGTGGCTGTCGGGTGATCGACGCTATTGGCTCCAGTGGCGTGGGCGCGCTGGCGTTCGCGGTGGCGGCCTGGAGAGTCGCAGACGCCCTGCATACGTCCCACACACTGCCATTCGCCAGAAGCGAAGCCCGCCAATAGGCGACGACTATGCGCAAACCAGCTTACTCCTCAATGGACTCGAAAACAGCTTCCATTCCACGAGGAGCACCGCGGGTGAGATCTCCAGTGACAGACGTACTGTTCAAGAGTCGCGAACGACGGGAAAAGGCAGCACAACGACTTCGGCAGTGGACAGGGCAAGCTATCGCTGCGGTGTCCCTGACGCACTGGCAGTGTCGTTCGGATGTTTTGCCAAGTTCGTTGATATGTCTAGGTCGACTTATGACCCTGTCGTTTTTGTGGTGTGCGAGTTGGGCTCTCCATCTGCAGACAATTAACAACAAAATGGTGTGTGTCAGACGTGCCCAATGTTTCCTGATCTGTTGACCCAAGACGGTTCACCGATTCAGCACGAATGTAGACCCATCATCCACATCCACCTCATCCAACTCCGCCTCTTTGGCCCTCTTCTCTCCATCTGCCGTGAACGACGCTTAAGCTCTGGCTGTGTTCTTGCCGTTTTTGTCCACTCACTCCTCTGGATGCTCGGCCACGCTCGCCCATAGGCTCCCTTTCATCCTACTTGATGTATGGCCCCTCGTCCGCTCCTGCCGCGCTTCCCTCGTCCACAGACGCCGCGGCTGCTTCCCAGAGGGGGCAATGCACGACCTCCTGCTGCGCGGCGGCACGGCCCTTGCCGGGGGCGTCCAGAAGGGGGCAAAGCTGCAGAGGAGAGAAACAAAAGCAGAAAAAGAATTCCACCAGCCCTCGCGGCGTGAGTGTTTTAATGAGTTGCCCCTTCCAACCCCCTGTTTCCCCTGCGGAGAAAGATTTACCACTTCCCCAATCCCCTCCCCCCCAGGTGTCTGGAGGGGGGGTTGGCGAGGTATCAGAAGGTCTGTGATGGCCTCGGCGAGGAAGCCAACATCATTGATCTGACTAAGGTGTTGGCCATATGTTGGTCTGCTGGTGGGGGGTGAAGGGGGGGAGTGGGGGGAAGGGGGGAGAGAGGGGGAGAAGGGAGGGGAAGGGGGGGAAGGGGGAGGGGAGGGGGGCACCACGGTCCGTCCTTTGACCGATCTCCTGCAAAATGGCCTGGAAATGGCCCCCGAGGCTCCCAAGGGTGTCCCAAGCCGGCCCCAAGAGGTGCCCAAGAGACCCCAAGAAGCCCCCCAGAGGCACCCAAGACGCTCCAAGAGGCCTCGGCGAGAAGGCCAAAATCACTAGTGTGACTCAGGTTGTGGCATCATGTTGGCCTCCTGGGTGGCGGACCCTACTTCAGGAGCCCACCTTTGATCGATCTCATCCAAGATGACCCCAAAACGGCACCCGAGGCTCCCCAGGGGGCCCAAAGACCGCACCAAGAGATTGCCAGGAGGCCCCCAGAGGCCGCCAAGAGGCCCAGACGATGCCTCCAAGAGGCAACCAAGAGACCCCTTGAGAGGCCCCAGGAAGCCCTCCAGAGGCACCCAAGTCGCCCCAAAAGACCTCGGCGAGAAGGCCAAACTCATTGATGTTACTAGGGTGTTGGCCACATATTGGCCTCCTGGGGGGTCCTAGTTGAGGAGCCCCCCTCCTCTGATCGATCTCATGCAAGTTGCCCCGGATATGGCCCCGAGGCTCCCAAGGGGATCCCAATCCGGCCCCAAGAGGTGCCCAAGAGACCCCAAGAAGCCCTCCCGAGGCACCCAAGTCGCCCCAAGAGGCCTCGGCGAGAAGGCCAAACTCATTGATGTTACTATGGTGTTGGCCACATTTTGGCCTCCTGGGGGGGTCCTAATTGAGGAGCCCCCCTCCTTTGATCGATCTCCTCCAAGATGTCCTCTGGAGGCTCCCAATACACCCCCAAGAGGCCCAAGAGGCCCCCCAGAAACACCGAAGACGCCCCAAGAGGTCCCCGGGACTGCCAAGAGATTCCCCAGACATCCCAAAAGGACTCCAAGAAGCTCCCAGAAGAGATCCGAAGATCCGAGAGGCATCCAAGAGGCTTCTGGCCGTTCTGTTCACCGTTTTCCTCCTCCTCCTCCTGCTCCTCATCCTCCTCCTCCTCCTCCTCCTCCTCCTCCTCCTCCTCCTCCTCCTCCTCCTCCTCCTCCTCATCCACCACTCCTTTTCCTTATAGGTAACTCCTCCCTGTCGCACCCCGAAGCCCATCGGAAGGGCGGGCTGGGCGTTTCGCCTGAGATTCCCTTACCATTTATGATCCCTAAGCTTAAGAATTGACAACAGCTTCACAGATGGACGGCGGGTGGTCCTCAAAATGTTGCTCCTGCCGTAGCGCCGCGCACACTCGTCTTAAGACATCGCAAGAACTTCACGGATTGACCTTGGGCCGTTGTAAAAATTTGGCTCTCACCCTAGCGCTGCGCACATCCGCTTTGAACACTACAGCTTCACAGATTGAGCGCGGGCAATTATCAAAATGTGGTTCTCGCCTTAGCGCCGCGCACACTCGTCTTAAAAATTTGCAGGAGCTTCACAGATTGAGGGCGGGCCGTTTTCAAAATGCGTTTCTCCCAATAGCGCAACGCACATTCGTCTTGAAAGTTCGCATGAGTTTCCAAGATGGAAGGCGGTTCCTTATCAAAAGATTGCTCTCACCTCAGCGCTACGCACAGTCGTCTTAAACAGTTTCAAGAGTTGCACGGGCTCCCGTGGCAAACGTACCAGAATGGATGTTGTTGTAACGATTCAAGACTGTCGGGGCGCAACAGTTACCTTGACTCGCGGTGTTGAAGTCCCGGAAACGGACTTGTAGCACGACTCAGGATCGTCAACATGCAACAATCAAGCTGAATCGTGGCGTTGGGGTCCCGAAGATGGGGTTTGGGCATGCTTCAGGATATTGAAACGGTTGTCTCCCATCGGGGCACATCCCTCACTAGAAATGAACCTTTTTGTAAGGGGCCTGTAAAGAGGGAGCTTCGAGGGATGGTTTTTTTTTCCAACATCGTTGATGGGCATTGGGTTTACAGCGGTCCTGGTCCACCTCCTCTTCCTACTCTTGCTGTTCCTCCCCCTTCCTCCTCCTTCCTCCCTCCTGTCCCTCCCCTTTTCCCTCCTCCTCCACCTCCCCCTCCTCCTCATCTTTCTCATCCTCCTTCTCTGATTCCTCCTCCTCCTCCTCATCATCATCTGATTACTTCTCAATCCCCTCTTGAGATACGACGTTTTACCCAGCCGTCTATTCCACTGCATGCTCTTCCATATCAGGGCAGCTCGTCTGAGCATCGTTTCTGGATGGGCTGGCGGGGTTACTTTTTGATCGCGACCGCTAGCGGACACCCGCGCGGCGTCGCGAAGTCACGCGAAGAGCGCAAGCCGGTGCAAGGCAGCGCAACTGTCGCCGGCGAGACGCGGAAAAAGGACGGGGCCACTAGGCAGAGGAAGCGCAAGAGGGACGAAAAAAACGAATCGCGAGCGAAGCGGAAGAGAACGAAGGAGACGGGAAGACGAGGACGACGAAAGGAGGGAGAAAGAGAAACCCACGCAACGCCGCTCAGAGGCGGAGGGTCGAGTCGGTGAACGCCCAGGTCACGTCATCCTCCAGGTACATGAACAGCGACTGAGGCGACCGTGTGGACTAAAACCGTCATCAGGAAGCCGGACGCCGAAGGCAAAGAACCTGCCAGAAGCTGGTGGGGTTATTTTTTTTGGTCGGCGGCCGCGCGACAACGGTCTGGCGGCGAGAGGCAACGTCCGGGGCGTGCGGCACGATGCGAATTAGCGAACACCGCCGCCACGTTGGCAAGCCGGTTCGCACCTGCACAACAAGAGCGCAGTTGCACATGCACAGAACAAAATGAACTAAATTCACAAGCAAACGCACATAGGCGCCGCTGGGGAGCTCGTCTACGCTCTCGCTTGAATGATTTGTCCTCTGGGGATTTGAACAAACCTGGTTGATCAAAGACTGGTACATGCTCACGGGCAGGAAATCTATCAATTACTCCGACGGAAGGACCCCACATGATAATCTGTTTAGCTTTCCCTTATCCCTTTCCTCCCGGCCATGGCAAACACCCTCGTATCGCCCTCTCCTCTGCCATCTTTTCCTCTTCTTCTATTTCCCCCCCCCTCCTTCTCCTCCTCCTCCTCCTCCTCCTTCTCCACCTCCTCCTCATCATCGCCCTCCCCATACCCCTTCCGTCCTCATCCTCCTCCTGCCTCTTTTCCACGTGCACGTCCCTTTCCCCCCGGTCGGGGGAAGCAAGTCGATTTTCCTCGGCGCCGTCGCCGCCTCGGTCAGAACGCGCGCGTTTGCCGACGGCCAGATCGCGAAGCCGTCGGGTCAACCCTTCGGGCCAGCCATGCCTGCGGGGCACTCCCGCGGGCCGCCGGAGCGCGAGGGCAGGCCGTCGGGACAACCCCGCGGGCCAGGCCGTTGGGACAACCCCGCGGGCCTCCTCGCGCGCGCCGCGGCGCTCAGGCGGGCGGCAGCACGAAGCCCAGCTCTGCCGCGAGCTGCTCCGCTTCAGCCCTGGAGTCCACCGCTCTCTCGTCGAACTCCTGGAGCGCCTTCCACAGCGACGCCGGCGGCCCGCGCACCAGGAACTCTCGCGCGGGCGGCCGCAGGATCAGCATGTTCCGCACGCACGTGGCGCGGGAGAACATGACGTAGAGGCGCAGCCACCACATATCGTCCGACATGCCCGTGCGGCCAGCGTCCTCATCCCTGGCGCAGTCGACGGTGACGCCCTTGCGCAGCGTCTGGCCCTGCGACAGCGTGGAGGTCAGGTAGGACGCGTGCGTCAGCGTGAATCCCGAGCGGCGCACAGTGTGCGCCCCCGAGCTCTGCCACGTGAACTCCTGCTCGCTGGGCCTGAACATGAGCAAGCTCCTCGCCCGCGCCTGGGCCTCGCCGTCGTCGTCAGCGCCCTCGGTGCCCTGCAGCAGCACCTCGGCGACCTCCTTGTAGATCGGGGACTCCTGGAAGCCGTGCACATGCAGCCAGATTCCCTGCGGTAGGAAGCGGGGGCGGAAGAGCTGGCCCGGCGCGCACTCCTCGTAGTCCCGCTCGTCGTCTGCGTGAAACTCGAAGGACACGATGGTGGCCCGTTGCTCCTGCACGAGCCCCAACTTCTTCTTCAGCTCCTCCTGCACGGCCGTGAACCGGACCTCCATGCCGACGTGTGCCGGTAAGACGCCGTGGATGTCCCCCGTCTTGTGCATGTTCGGGACGTTCAGGAGGCGCCGGCCTGCGTCTGGTTCGCCTTGAATCGTGCCGCACTCGTCTACGGCCTGCAGGAAAACGAGGGGGACGCCGAGGCGCCGCGCGTCGCGACGAGCGCGCGTGTTGATCCACCTCGCCAGCGTCTCCCAGTAGATGCCCATGCCGTAGCCGAGCCGAAAGTTCTCGTGCTGGTGCCGAGGGTCCAGGACGCCGTGGTTGTCAGAGGCCAACGTCTTCTCCCAGGCAGACCAGACCTCTGGTGGGAAGCGCTTGCCCTCGCGCATGCAGCCCAAGAACGCGATCAGAGGGTCCCCCGGCTCGAAGCGCTTCGTGCCCTTCAGCTCGAAGACGCAGGGGATCTGAGAGAATACCCTGATGGCGTGCTGGATCTCCACCGTCGGCGGCTCCGCGTACTTGTACGACCCGTCGTCCAGGAGCTCGTTCACGTCCGTCAGGAGCCCGATGCTGCCGGTGGGCTTCAGCTCCCGCCTGAGACTTCCTCGCAATTCACTCACAGACAACGCTCCCGCCTGATACTTCCTCCAAATTCACGCCCCAGGAGCCCAAAAGTGACGACAGTTACAGGATCCCAATGACCCGCCTCGGATTAGTAAGATGATCTGCGGGCCCCATAGGGAGAGGCTCCCGCCTGAGACTTCCTCGCAATTCACTCACAGACGACGCTCCCGCCTGATACTTCCTCCAAATTCACGCCCCGGGAGCCCAAAAGTCACGACAGTTACAGGATCCCGATGACCCGCCTCGGATTAGTAAGATGATCTGCGGGCCCCATAGGGAGAAGCTCCCGCCTGAGACTTCCTCGCAATTCACTCACAGACGAGGCTCCCGCTAGATACTTCCTCCAGATTCACGCCCCAGGAGCCCAAAAGTGACGACAGTTACAGGATCCCGATGACCCGCCTCGGATTAGTAAGATGATCTGCGGGCCCCATAGGGAGAGGCTCCCGCCTGAGACTTCCTCGCAATTCACTCACAGACGACGCTCCCGCCTGATACTTCCTCCAAATTCACGCCCCAGGAGCCCAAAAGTGACGACAGTTACAGGATCCCGATGACCCGCCTCGGATTAGTAAGATGATCTGCGGGCCCCATAGGGAGAGGCTCCCGCCTGAGACTTCCTCGCAATTCACTCACAGACGACGCTCCCGCTTGATACTCGAGTGAGTGACGGACTGACTGAGTGATGTGTGACGCCAACGGATGATATCCTCGTGTGATGATCATGATGAGTGAGTGAGTGAGTGAGTGAGTGAGCGATCGAGTGGTGTATGGGTAAGTGTGATGGTGCTGAGGAGGAGAGGCGTGGGTCATGATGATGATGACTGATGATGATGATGGCGAGAAAGAGGAAGAGAGAGAGAGAGAGGGTGTGAGATCCTGCGCGGGGGGTGTGCAGAGAAAACAAGAACCCCACTTTGAATGTGGGGAAAAAAACTACTGAACGCGGTGCAGCCAGGACAATTCCAGACCAAACCAGCCTGTTGCACATCCATGTAGTGAGCACCTGCATTCGACAAACGACTCACAGTGGGCCACTTTCCACATCCCAGCGGCCCGCGCTAGAAAATCGACTGAGAGGTATTATCAACATCTGCATACACATATTATCCTGCAAGGCTGGATGCATCTCACGAACTGCGTTTTACGATAATCGAAAGCGGAATTGCGGAATTCTTGCTACGTCCTCCTCCTCCTCTGCTTCCTACTCTTCCTCCTCCTCCTCCTCCTCCTCCACATCCCGCCTCCTTCTCCATATCCTCTCAGAAGCGACGGATGCCTGCGCATCAAGACCAGCCAAATTCACCACCTTGGCTGCGCAGATCTCGCCGGAAGGGTCACCCTGCGTGGCGTCCGTAATGTCCCACTTTAGAAAGAGATCTGCATCATGCCCTTCATTACCAAGTTTCCCCCTCCCTCTTCACCGTTCACCTCACCGTCACGGCCAGGCAGGATCGTGGACAGAGCCGAACCATGGAGATTCTTGGCAACCAGGGTTCAACGTACAAGGGCTGGAGACAAGCGAGGACAAAGCCGAACCAAAGAAATCCTCGGCGACCACGGCCCAGGACCGAGGCCAGGGACAACCAGGGACGAATCCGAACCACGGAAGCCCCTGACAGCCCGCAGCACCAAAACCAGGGCGGTTGGGGACAAAGCCGAGCCAAGAAAATTGTCGGCGACTTGAGCGGCAGGGCCAGGGCCAGGGCCCACCGGGCGCAACGCCGAACCGAGAGAGCAAGGGAACCCCCTGGCAACCACAGCACAGCACCAGGACCGGAGACCCTCGGAGACACGTCCGACCAAGAAAGCCCTCGACTATAGACCAAGGCTGAACACCAGGTCCATGGAGACTTTGGGACGAGAGCCAAGCCAAGAAGCTCTTGGCGACCAGGGCCGAGCACGGCCGAATCAAGGGAACAGTCGGCCAGGCCACCAGGGCCAGCTCCAGGGAAAGTGAGGACCCGGCCGACCCAAAAAAATCCTAAGCCACTTGGACGCAATATCAAGGTTTGGGACCGTCGGGGGCTCAAACAGGCAAAGAAAATCTTCTGCAACCAAGGCACTGAACGAGGACCAGAAACTATCTAGACAATCCTTCGCAACCGAAGCACATTGCCAGAGCTGGGAACCATCGGGGACAAAACAGCCCTAAAAATAATCTAAGACAACCAGGGCACCGAGCTGGAGCTAGGGAGACAGAAAAAACAGCCAAGAAAACAGGTGAAAAGTAAATGCAATTCTACCAGGTCGACTAAAAAGATAAACTGTCTACATTGAAATGCTGGCCCGTTCATACACACAACAACCATATCTCTACAAAACGCAATGGTAGTGTGGACATACTACGACCTACGAAGACCCACGAGGGGTCACAACCTCGTCTTCTTCTGCCAACAAACGAATGTTCCCATGACTTCGTCGCGCTGTGATGACTGCAACATTGGTACGTGCATGTGGCCCCCATTATACCGCTGAGCAGCCAGTATCAGTGAAACGGGACGACACAAGCCAACATAGGCGAGAAGATTGGTTATTCCCCTGGTGCGACGCCTGTGTCGAAACGCAAAAGATGGAGCAATTGGGCGACCCGGCCAACTTGGAGACGACGGTGAAACCCCTGACCTCGAGGGCGTTGAGGATGGCTTCCCCTCCTCACAGCAATGAGAAAAACACAAACGGAAAAAAAGACTAGCGCAAGGCATAAGCTAAAAAGTCATGGCCGCTGCACACCTCTCACCCTGCAACACCTATTCGTCCGAATGAGATCTGCTGTCCCCCGAGCAAAAGCACATACAAATAAAAAGAAAGCACAAGGAAAACTGAGCATGTGATACCACATGGTGGCGAACTATGACCAGCAGAAAAAATATTCTAATGATAAGAAAAAGGCACGCTGAAGATGCGGAAAAAAACAATTCCATTATACATACAAAAAGCCCTGACATATTTCTCATACCGTCGGGCCGCTTGCGTCCGGACCGGCCCGGGAAAGCCTCAGGTGGCCACGGAGGGCCGAAAAACACCAGGAGAAAAGCCCAAGATGGCCTCGGGGCAACAAGCTCCCTCAAAGGTCCCATAAAAAAACCGAATGGACCAATGAAAAAACGAAAAGACATGTATCGTGCACTAGTTCGACATATTTGAAATAAAAGGAACCATTTCACCACGCTCGCCTTCATGCAAATTTCTGGAGCGTCCAAAACGGTGTGAACAACAAGCAAAACTCGCCCGCTATGTCTCGCAAAGCACACCTTGAAGGCCCAAATTATGGCCCAGGAAACCCAAGAGAAGCCCAGAATGGCACAGAAAAAAGCACCAAGACGACCCGACAGGGGCCTCAGGAGCCCGAAACAACAGAGCAGAACCCCAATTCAACCCACTCGGCCACAGACCGCCCTAAGATATGTTTTTTTCCTACGCGACCTCATGGCGGAGAACAGCACCAACAAAGAGTCAAGCCCTCAACCACACAAACGCACTGAAACCTTCTACCGCACAGCAAGCACGCCAGGCTTCGGCGCACCAGAGAGGACCCGACAGTGACAAAGAGGACCCGACAAGGACCCCACCCGAAAACGGCCTAACACGGCCCCAAGACGACCCAACGGCCTTCCCTACGACCGGAAAAATGGTGGTAGGAAATATCCAAGACGAGCCCACTCGAACGTTGGATGAACACAACGGTCCATCAATAATTTAACAACCACGTGAACCTGTGTAACTACGGGTCAGATTCAAAACGGTATGCCAAAAACAAGGTAGCCAACCAAAACAATGAACGACACACGACTCGACAAATCGATATGCAATGCAGAAGAAACACAGTACGCACGCAAACACCACATGTCAGACAATCAAAAAACACAAAACAGAATTGACACTGACATGCATCTAAAAGACGCACGCCTCAACGCAAAGAATCACACATCACAAACTTGCAGAATTCTTTATCAACGCAAACTCCAACACACAAGCCAAAAGAACCAGTGTCAGACGTCACGGTGCAACAACTGCCGAAACAAGAAGAAAAGTGCTACTGCATAGTAATACCATCCTGGGAGAACGAAATCACACAAAACATGTTCACGAGCGCATGATTCGACGACCCTGCGCTTCTCATTTTAAACGCCTCGCTGATACGCACGTCCTGTCGATCGCGCCACTCATCCCATGTTCCTGCACTCGCACACGGTGCCAAAGCAACGGTTCGGTTTCACGTCACCTCGTGCATTCATTGTCTTTTTCTGCTGTGGCAAAGTACATCATGGAGTGTCCAACGGGACGTTGTGCCAAGCGGATCCAAACAGGACGTCCTCTTTGCGGGCGCTGTGAACTGCGTAAGCAATGCAATGCAAACTACCAAAGACTTCCAACGAGTATGCAACTAGACATGTCCAGCGTTGATCAACGTGGACGAAAGATGGTTTCGCTATTGTGTGATTGCGTCGAACTGATTGGCATATGTATGGTTCAACGCATCCTTGTAGTATGCCCTTTAAAATTTTGAATCACATGAAAACACATCAAGCACTGGCCACCGAAACAACACACAAGGATGAAAACGTAGAACCCACGCAAACAACAAAAACACATGTCGCTCATTGGAAACCAAGCACAGTTACGGCTCAACGCAAACAACCACACGTCACAAACTTGCCAAAATTGATTGGACGACACCAACTGCAGACACCCAGAGGCGCGGCATGCGTTCGTTGAAAAATGTGTGTGTGTGTGTGTCGTTATGTTGTTTGATATATGTGTACTGTTTAACAAAAAGTTGTGGTTGTTGGTGGTAGTTTCCGTCAGTTCGCGCGTTTCCTCATGTCACCTAGTCTTTAAAATATGGTGCACAAGCTTCGTTACGCAATCGATATCGCGCAATCTGCGATGTGCAACATACGCGGTGCAATCTAGGCGACCCACATAATTTGGCACAACTTAAGATTGCCAACTCCATTGCTCGCGCACTCATCACGCCCAGCCGCCTGCAATTACATGTTTAAACCTCACACAGCGGCGATTGCTGCAGGAGCTCGGCGCTGGCCAGAGCACCGCCGCGGCCGCACCCACGCGTGCAACCTCGCGCGCCGAGCAGCCAGCTAGCGCGGCGCGACTGACGCGGCCGCGGCGACGCTGACCGCCGGAGACCCCATCTGGCGCCCCGTTAGCCGCGCGACGCGAGGGCGCTTCGATCCATCCAACATTGCGACTCGGGCGAGCGCGGTGCAATGGTGACGTCAACAACGGCGAACCATAACAGCCATGAGGGCCAAAATGATGATGACGCGCCGATAGACACGATGGCACCCACGCGTCGGTGATACAAACTGTGGAAGTGATACACGCGCGCGCGCGGCCGACGCGGACAAATAACCCGCACGGCGTCACGGCGTTACTTTAAATCAGCCAAGCCTCCACAACAAACGCGCAAAAGGGTGCGAAGAATTTCGACATGCGCGCACAAAGGACCCGCCTTGTCTCATTTCATAGAACGTAAGGCACGCCCACATGGCCACTTAACAATTATGTTACAAAAATGCTTGTTACGTCATCGGGAATCTCGATTTGGGACCCTATACAAAACCTGCGGAAATTCAAACACGAGCGCGCAATAACGCGATCATGTCGACTCCCTCAAGTTTTAGCCACAAATCGCTGGGGACTGCTAATGTGTTAACATCAAAACACTGGGGCGTACTCATATGCAAATATACGATCCGACAAGGTACCCAAAAAAACAATGGAAAGTGGCAGTCAAATTTCTTCTAATTTTTACGCAACTTATCTGGCGTGCAATGACTTCACGTGGCCGAGTCGACGCGGCGCAATCTGAATGGCAGGATTCACCCTGCCGAAGTTGAACACGTCAACTCCACTGATCGGACAATCAGATCATCCGCCGACGCCCGGCCAACTGGGCTGGCAAATACGCAGCGAAGCCCTCTTCACAGGCAGGGAGCGGGAGCGAGGAGGAGAGATGGAGGGAAAGGGGGAAGGAGCGGACAGTTCCGAAACCCGCGGAGCGGGCGCGAACAAGCGGGGCGCGAGAAGAAAACGTCCGGATCCATCTTCAGCGCGGCGGGCGCGAGCCCCGAAACGGCGCTGGAGGCGCCTCTGGAATCGCGAGACCGACCGCGCATTAACACGACAATATGGCATGCGGTCGCGGCGAGTCCCCCCGAAACCCGAAGGCAACATGAACTCGGGCGAATCGAACGATCGCTTTGCCAAGCGCCACTGGCGCTGCCTAGGCGCCCGCGGAAGCGGCGAGGCGGCAGAGGAGG